TTCTTTCTTTCTTTCTTTCTTTCTTTCTTTCTTTCTTTCTTTCTTTCTTTCTTTCTTTCTTTTATGCAGGACGTTATTGCTAACCAGTCTCTTTGCTTCTCTAGCTGACTCGGCTCTGCCGAGGGCCCCCAATTTACAGTACACACACACACACATATATATATATATATATATATATATATATATATATATATATATATATATATATATATATATATATGCAAATTGTAATGAAATGTTAAATGTTGGAACTGTAACTGTACAGTCATATGTTTACATCACTTTATCACTGCTGCTTACCTTTATCAAGGCTGCACTTTAAAAAATGAAGTAGTCTAGAGAGCTGTACTTAAAGAAATATCTCTTTCTTTACACCTGTGTGTATAAAATGACAAAATATCTCTGTCTAAGTCTAAAAAGTATCCATTTAAGCAACGATTTTAGAGGTCTCTGACATGGTGCATTAAATATTACAAGGTTGAAAATGTATTTTTTTTACTTTGTGACAATTTCCTAAAAATAATGGCATCCTGATGGGACAAGCTGTGATGAACTCCCTTTGTAATTGTTTCAGAAAATAAGGTAATGTCTTTTTCATTACTCTGACCTCAAGCAAAGCACCTTTCCAATATATTATCATCATTCATTATAGTTTGTTTCCATTGTTATTTAGTAGCTGTGTTTCTCAAACTTTAGATGTTCAGCTTGCTGATTTTTATGCCAAATATTATGTCAGAGGTGTTTTTTGTTATACTCACTGATGCTCTGTCTCTGGACTGTCTGGCAACGCTAAGAGGTTGGCGCCCTTCTGATAGGGATTCTGAAAAACACAGATATGTGGGTAATGAAATAGGATGAATTCAGTCTCAATACTATTTAACCACAGTATAATCTTTCAATTACAGTACCTTCTTTGTCAGTTATAGAGCTCAAACATTGTATTAAACACACAGTTTACTCTGGCAGTAAGCTAAACAAGTTGTACTCAAAGTATATCCAGAATAAAGGCTCTTAAAGGGTATGTCTGCTATCTCCCCCAATCTCTGGTCAGTATATTAACAACTGGTTTTATCTGAGGTGCTAAAGCTGACCTGTATGGTTAGTAGTTAATATCAATTTGGCCAGGAATACACAGAACACTGCGGTTTGTTACATATGATGCTAGTGTTTAACATTTCCTTTTAAACCATGTGGATGTACTGGTGTGTCTCATACTTGAAGAGCACAAGGCACCAGTATGCACCATGGAAAGAAGGCAAACCAGTGGAGGTAATGTTATGCTTTGGGCAAGGTTCTGGCTTAGAAACCAGACCTGCCCTTGTTAATGGAAGTTACTTTCACACATACCACCAACTTAATTGTTGCAGACCATGAAATAGTTTTTATAGATAACATAAAGAGTTATACATGATCTCTTGGCATCTTTTGGTAGGCAATTCCAAAATAAAAAAACAAAGTTTGAGGTGTTGGCTTGTGCTCAAAACTGCCAAGATCACATCTCAATTACACATCTGTCCAATTCAATCTATAGAACTTTTAAGTATTTGCTTCTAACTTCTCAATACAAAGTAACACAGCACAAACTTCAGTGGTTGTAGATAATCCATCCATGGTATTATAGGTTCTGGAAATTCTGGCAACATAAAGGGACACAAACAGACATCTATTTACCTATCTATGTACCTGTCTGTCTGTCTATTTATGCATACAGTATATACAGGGAGGAAAATACGTATTTGAACACCCTTCTATTTTGTAAGTTCTCCCACTGCAGATCCCTCCATGGTTTCTAAGTGGGAGAGCTTGCAAAATTTTAGGGTGTTCAAATACTTATTTTCATCACCTTAAATGAATATGGTTAAACCTATATGTGGAATTATAGGCTACAAGTCATCAAATGTGCAGTTTGAGTAGGTTGCTGTTCCTTTGAGAGCTTTGTTCTTCAAAGTGTTGGCAATGAATCAAACAGATGGGAGGATTTTCATTATATAAAGCAACGATGGAAAATTATCTAAGTGGAGCATGCATCACTAAGCTGAGTGTCATCCTTGGTGACAAAGAATTTAGTCAATCAGGGGAAAATTAGGCGCAAACCGCCTCTGGGACAGAGCAGCATTACAGAGTCCTTATAGAGATGAAATATAGATCAGGAGCTTTGAAGCAACCATACACAGAGAGTAGAATAGTGCAGTTATACTGTGCTTTAAAACTTAGCAGTTTGAGAATTTGAGATCAGAAATGACCCAAACTATATGTAATATTAAGAGAGAGCACAGGTAAAAACAACAAACTAAAAAAGGTTAAGTGATCGTGGTAAGAAATAAAATCTAACCATGCTTTTATTCAAAAAGATCAAAACAGAAGGCCTAAACAGTTTAATTGAAAATGATGAAAAAAAACATTAGAATACAAAATGCTAAGTCAGAGAAACATGAAAACATTTATTTTAATCCATTTTATAGTGAATAAATACATATAATAACCCAACCAAACACAATGAACAGTAATCAAAAAAATAAAAATGCTAGCTAAGAGGAGTGCTTTGATAATGCATGATAGACGTCACAAACACTGCTGTTCTGATGACTGCTAAGGCTGTATGAGAGATATACGTAATGATAGATTACCTGTGGGTCTCCTTCTTGGGCAGGAGTGATGCTGGATGGGCCGTATGTGACGGGTTGTTGGCTTCATGGTGCTTCGCTTGGATGGAGAAAGAGTTTGAGTCTCAACTTTTTTGTTGAACTCAGTCTTCTTTATGATAGCTACAAAGTGGGAAAAAAAAGGAAATTATAAAGGGTATAGAATACTTTGAACAAACCAATGATAAGAGATTATTGTGTCATTATTTGAGTTTTTATTTTTTGGTTGCAATCTTAGAGAAAACAACTTTAAATATGGAGTATTCAATTGGAGGAAAAGGTCTGAATTATTATTATTATTATTATTATTATTATTATTATTATACATTTTTATGGATTTTTTTTTTATCAGATAAAATACTGAAATCAAATTAAAATTGTTATAATTCTCAAATGTAAACAGCCCGCCTCTAAGCCTTCTGTTTCCAATTTTGAACTAACTTTGTTTCAGGTGAATAGTTCAAAGTGTGTCTTCTGCTCTGTTATTTACCGCCCCCCTCAATATGATAAACACTTTTAAAATAACCTCTAATGCTTTCTGTCTGAGTTTATGCCCAGCTATGATATGTTCTTGTTGTCAGAGATTAAAATTTTCATGTGTGTTGGTCATGAAAAACCGCTGATGAAGGATTTTAGACCTAATTGACTCTTTTAACCTGATCCAATCAGTAACTGTTTCCACACATGAGCGAGGTCACACATTAGATATGGTTCTGTCTAATGATCTGCCTTTGTCTAAAGTAAAAAGTATTTGATGTTTATTTTAAACAAGCTTTAACTGAATCCGGTCCCCCCGTTCGTCACTATCAGAATTCTAATCAATCCTCTGATGTGGAATTTTCAGAGGCTTTTAATCAGCTCCCTGTTCCTCCTGAGGGTCCTCCTCTGTGATGATGGAGCTCACCCCATGTTTTCACTCTTCATGTTGAACAATCTTTGACTATGTAGCTCCCTTAAGAAGAAAGAAGCTCAAGTCTAAACCTGAGCCTTGGGTTAATGAGAGGACCAGGGCTGCCAAAAGGGTTCTACCTAGCAGAAGATTTTTGCCATCTCTCCTATAGCGGGTGCAAAATATGACCATGTCGCTCCTGTCTTGGCTTAACTCCACTGGCTGCCTGTTTCTTTTAGATTTGATTATTTCGATTAGATTTTTTGCCCCACCTTACCTCTCTGAGCTCCTTCAACCCTACTTGCCTCCTTGGTCCCTAGGGTCAGCAGAACAGCAGCCCCTGCAGGTACCGAGGTTTAAGAGGAAGCTCAGAGGGATGACAACCTTTTCTATCGCTGCTCCTCTTTAATGGAATAGCCTCCTGCTTCATGTTAGTGAGGCTCCTTCACTGCCAAATTTTAAAACATTGCTCAAGACTTACTTTTATTCGCTGGCTTTTAACTCTGGCAGGAATTAGTTCTTGTGACCTTGTTTATTTAGCTTAGAGAAATTATTTTATCTTTATACTGTATTTTATTCTTTTTTTGGTGTTTATTATTTTAGCTACAGTATGTTTAGCACTTTGTTTTCAGCTGTTACCTGTTTTTAAGTGCTCTACAAATAACATTGATGATGATGATGATGAAAGTGTTGCTTTTCATCAAAACAGCTCATAAACAAGAGCCATATCAATCAATCATATATGTTTGTGCTGGTGCCGTCTCGGTTTTACTTGACCAGGTTTTTCTTTTTGCATTAATCAAAAATATTTGAACTTTTTCTCTGTGTACCTAAGAGCAATTGATATTTTAAATACCTAAAATCTATGATTAATGAAATAATTAAAATAAGTCCTCATCTACCTTTATGTTGTTTTTTTTTAAAGCATAGCAATGTCCCTTAGTTTAAGCATTACAATTGATAATCAGTTAGAGACTGATGCACTGTCCGCCTTCCAGGGGTTTAATCAACTTTTGGTGACATTTTCTGCTTGCTTGCATGCGCTTAATTCCTTATTCTTATAAATATATTTCTTGATTTTATGAAAAGTGCTGTTAATACTTTGTAGTACAACTTTGAGTAAAAAAGGGTTGAAGTTTGCTTTTAGATAATAAAGCTCATAAAGAACCACAAAAGACCCTTCCTCCTCATGTTTTCTCTCTCTAAGTAGCCCTAACTCTTGGTTTCAGTACTTATTTATCATAATAACGGGAAAAAAATTTTATGTGTCAAATTGTTTTTTTTTCAGGGAGGTAGATCCATATACATATAAAACCTTCATTTACTACAGTTAATTTTAAATGAACTCACAAATTGTATAAAATGTATAGCAACTTTCTTTTTAAACAGTATGACTATTTATGATGACATAAAAATTTTATCAATTGCTGCAGTGCTTAGATTATCACATTTTTTATTACACGAATGATGAACCTTCAAATTACCTTTTTTCTTCTTGAGCTCCTCTTTGGGAATGTAGGTGGGCTCTTTTCGAACAGGTTTGCGCTCAGGGGTTGAGATGCGACCTTTGGCTCGCCCTGTTTTACTTTTGGGTTTGACAGATTTCTCTCGTTTTTCCGTACTCCGCTGTTTTGTCAAATTGCTCTGGACCACAACAGGTTTCTTAGCTGGACTGGGTACCTCAGGTAAAAGCTCGATCTGTTCTGTTGCCATACTCCTGTCATCGTCTAGTAAACAGAACATCTGATTAGAAACACTAAGGAAAGGAAATGGAGTGAATATAATAAATAACATGATACATAGAGTAATTTCACCTTGTGTGTCAACCCAGGAGCTGTCAAGGATGGAGTCATCTACTGTTGTTTCATCTCTATCATAGCTTTCAGACGGTACCTCTGTTTCTCTGGTCCGAGCTTCCTGTGCTGGGGAGGCAGGTGTTTCGGGAACTTCTCCTACTTCCTCAAGGCTTAGAGCTTCTAAGTCTGCTTCCTGAGCCAACTCCACAGATTCGTCATGTTCTTCTTCTTTTTGTGCACCAACACAAAGGGCCTCGGCCTCAGGTGGGGCTGAGAAACGAACGCTGTGACCTGGTTCTTCGGCTTCATCGATTGTTTGTACCACAGTGATGAAATCATCTTCAACCATGACCACTGATTCAATGGCGGCATGGGTCTCTGGTATTTCCTTTTGCACCTGTGCTCCTTTACTCTCCTCTTTCAATGGATCTTTATTATCTGTTTGCTGCATTCCCTCTTCTGCCACTATCTTATCTGAAGCTATTTTGTCAGTCTCAGACATTTGAAGTTGCTCTTTCTCCTCAGTGAATTCCATCACTACCTTTTCCTCATCCTCATTTTCATTTTTTCCCCGCTCCACCTTTTCCATCTTCTCTTTCAACACATTGTCTGCCGTCTCTTGTTCCATTCTTTTATTCCTTTCTCTGTCCTCTTGCTCCATATTTTCCTTTTCTTCAATTTCTTTTTGCTGTCTGTCCTCTTTTTCTTTCCTGTCCTTCTCTTCTTTTTCTTTTCTAACTTTCTCCCTTTCTTCATTTTCTCTCTTCTCCTTCTCCTCCCGTTCCCTCTCTTCTTGTTCCTTTCTTTCTTTCTCCTCCCTTTCCCTCTCTTCTCTTTCTTTCTTCTCGTTCTCCTCCCTTTCCCTCTCTTCTCTTTCTTTCTTCTCTTTCTCCTCCCTTTCCCTCTCTTCTCTTTCCATTCTTTCTTTCTCCTCCCGTTCCCTCTCTTCTCTTTCCATTCTTTCTTTCTCCTCCCGTTCCTTCTCTTCTCTTTCCATTCTTTCTTTCTCCTCCCGTTCCATCTCTTCTCTTTCAATTCTTTCTTTCTCCTCCCTTTCCCTCTGTTCTCTTTCTTTCTTCTCTTTCTCCTCCTGTTCCATCTTTTCTCTTTCTACTTTTTCCTCCCTTTCTTTAATCTCCATCTCCATCTCCTCTTTCTCTTTCTTTTCTTTCTCCAATCTGTCTTTTAGCTCTTTCCCTTGAATTTCTGCCTCTTCTTTCTCTCTTCTCTCTTGCTCCTCTCTTGCCTTTAATTCTGCTTCCTCCTTGATTTTTCTTTCATCCTCTTGTTTTTTTATCTGCTCAGCTGCCTCCTTCTCTTGGTCTTCCTTAATTTTTGTCTCTTGTTCAGGCCTTTCATCTCTGCTTATTCCTGACACAGGCGAAGCTGATCTTTTCGGTGAACCATACAATTCTTTTTGCTTAAGTTTTGAGGGTGAGAGTACTGGGGAAAGCAGTTTGTCATCATCAATGTTGCTCTCTACAGATGAAGTAGGTGATGTTTTCACAGGTCTGGCAATGCGGTCCTTAGCCATCCCAGTCAGCTGATAAACATCTTCAGCATCGACCTCCTCATAGGCCTCTTGGTGCACAAGCTTCACTTTTTCTCTTAGTTCCTGCAGTTCTCGCTCCTCCTCCAGACTCAGAGGTCTGTCCTCCATCTCCAGCTTGCGGATCTGTCTCTCATAGTCTGCTATCTCAATTTCTGTCACTGAAGCTTCACCACTGGCTTGACGTTCCATCTCACTAGCTGACCTCTCACCTTCCTCCAGAGTCACAGTGACAGTTGGTGTCACGAAGGGCTCACTTGGGTGAGTAGGAGGTGTCACACTCACAGGTTTTATCAGCAGATCATTTGCATCACATTTCGTGCTTTCCTCAACTGAATCTTTGTCTCCTGCTTGGTTTTGGTCTTCCCCCTCATGAACATCAGCATCTACAGATGACTGGCTCTTGTCTTCCATGGAGGTGTCTCTTACTGCCAATTTTCTCGCCTGCTCAGCCACTTTCTCCTCTAGTACAGAAGGGGTAAAGACTTGTCGAGAGGTTGTGGTAGGACTTAGCACGTCTGCAGGGGACGGCATTGGCCCAGAATATTCACTGAACACACAATAGCCCATCTCTTCCAGCTGGCTATCACTTTTTCTTACCCCAGGACTCAGCTCCCCTGAAGTCAGATTAGCCAGAGGGTTCTCAGTAAAGGTAGGAGAATCATCTTGGAATGACTTTTTCTGGATGATTTCGGGGTCTGTGTTTTCTGATGCCAGCCTGGACCGAGTACCAGCAAGGTCTAGCATCTCTGGTAAGTCCTGTGTCATTACTGATCCATTTTTAAATGAACCTTTATTTGGCTCTGGTGATTCAGGAGATTCAGGCTCTGGACTAACTTTTATTGGTGGTTCAGCAGTTCTAGGAGGTGAAGAGGAATCGGATGTGACAGAGGCTGCAGTCTCCAGGATCAGTGGAGGGAATGATGGAGGCTTATCTACAGAAGGTGTAGAAACTGGAAGGTAGTCAGCTGACTCATCAAGACTTCCACTTGTAAATGACATAATGTCAGTGGCCAAGGGGGTGAAATTTCTTTGCCTTCCCTGTCCAGTCTGATCTGTTGCTCCAATGGTGATGTTAAGCGAGTAACTCCTCTGCTCTAAGGCAAGCTTACCAGGTGAAAGTCTGCATTCATTACTTCTATCGGGATTTGCAAACATGCCAGTGTCTCCAGACAGAGGCTTTTTTGTTTCTGGTTTATCCTTCGTTTCTACAAGTGTGCTGTAGCTGACTTCTTGGGACTTGAAATCATTTTCATTTTTCTTTTCACCAGACCGACTCAGTTCGTAATAATCCTCACCCTTACTTTCTGTACCTTCCTTAACCTCCATAGCTGAGGTTTCAAAGTATGCTGACATGCCTGACTTGTCTCTGGCCTCTCTGGTTGCATCTGCTCCTTCAACTTTAACTCCCATCGAAGAGAAATCTGAAGGGGCAGTGATGCTGCTGAATTCCACCACCTCCACTGATGGCTGTTTTTCTGACACTGTGATTGGCTCACCATATGTAGGCTGAAGTGTGAGAGATTTCACTGGTTCTTTTACTTGGGTTTGAAGATCTGGAGGCACAAAGGATGGCATTTCCATGGTTGGGCTTTCTGGTACAACTCGTTCACCAGCAAAGAACCCTTGCATCTGTGGCTCAAAAAACTCCTCAGGGCGCTTCTCCGATCCAATGCTGTCAGGGCTCATGGACTCACTCTCTTGCTTGTCTGCATCCATCTTCAAAGCTGTAAAAATATCTGTAAGTTGACTGTTTCCATCACAACAGAAAAATACTGCTTAAGCATGCTATGTACAAGGATTGTTTATTAGCCGGTCACAGGAAAAGCTTTTGCACAACCAGGCAAAGCTCTCCTTTGGAAACTTACAGCACAATGATACAGCCACCACTGAGGAGATACGGCAAGACTAACGACCCACCATGTCACAGATGGATGAAAGACATGAGATGCAGTGTGACGGAGCCGACATGAGGCAACTGTAAGGATGATTTATGGAAAAACAGTAATGAAAGATGGGATGAATATCCATGCATTTCAAATCAACTACTGTAAAAAGCATATATTTCTGTCACTCACTGAAGATCATTGCTACATAAGTTATAAGTTAAGTATAAAATTTAGAGGTTATTAATAATAGCAATCCATATGAGAATCACATGGACCATTGAGGGCTCATGACAGATCTTTAAAATCCAAAAATTACTACTTTTCTAGTGAATGACAGAGAAATGCCATATGTTCACACTAACTGTAAGGGGGGAAAAAAAGCAAATTAAGATACATTTGCTTTTTTTGTTTTATTATAATTCTAGAAATGGAAATGTTTCTACAGATTCCTGTACCAAACTGAGCAAGAGACATCAAACACAGCTTGCCTCTAAAGTCTTTATACTGAGATTGATGGTAAAAATGAGCATTTCATGTTTATCGGCTATGACTTATGATAGCATTAAATGTTCAGCACTGGCACACCAGCACCATGCCATTATGTGTAAACATAATGAGAGACTAGGAAGCTTATAAAAATGTGAGATTAAAAAGAAAAAGCATTGTCATATTAAGCATCACTTCACATCATTATATCAACACAAAACGGCCGGCCCCAAAAACTACAGCGGTAAAATAAAAAACACAAGCGAAGACAACACAAGGGAAAAATAGGTCGATTTGAACAATGTGACTCTCTTCACCAACAAGCCTGTGTTGCCTTGCAGCCACAGCAGAGCGCAGGTTTTTTGCCATTCCAGTTGAATTATAATGCTTATGTCATTTGCTTTCTTTTTGACATATATTAACTTTTATTACAGGATAGAATGCAATAACATGCAGGCAGGGAGAGCAGAGGACAGGACACACCTGTCTCATGGCTTTCCTCACCCTCTGCATCCTCCTCCTCCTCTTCCTCCTCCTCCTCCTCCTCCTCTCTGTCCACAGAGCTTTCTGTGGTTGCACAAGCTGCCTCAGACTGCCCCAGGTCTACATCCTGTGCCACCTCTAAGGCTTCTGTCTGATCTAAGGGTTCAGCTTTGGGGCTGTCCATCTCGGGCTCTTCCCCACTCCACTGCTGCTCATCAAGAGCTGCCTCGGACACTGCCGCTTCTGCACTCTCCTCCTCCTCCTCTTCCACCTCTTCCTCATCCTCCTCGTATTCAGCTGTAAGAGCCTCCATGGTCTCTTCTTTTCAAAAACAGGGTGAAAGGGGGGACACAATAAGACTACAGGCAACACAGACTTGGGTTATGTAAGAACATAACTTATGAGGGGATATATTCAACTCTGGAGGAATGTGACCCAAATAATTAAATTTTCTTTTTATCCAAAACAGCAAGAGTATGTTGGCATTTTTATATTCAGAGGGATGTTGGTGAGTTTTTTAAGTATTGTGGGAGACATTTTACTTTAGATCTGATTATGTTGTATTTACTTTGACGCAGATTCTCTGTAAGTGGGGAGGAAAAATGCTCTTACATTCAAATTTAGGAATGATTTATATACTATACATACAGAAAGAGTAGAATTAGAAGAATAAAAAACATGAATTATATGATTAAATACGCAACAATTGTAACGGTTGGCTAGATTGTTTAAAGATCATAATCCTGTGATCTTTTAATATCTTTACTGTTTCTAATTTGCTATGTACCAAGAAATAAGTGCTTCTCTCACCATGGCTAATATAAAAACAAACATGTAATAGGTCACTGAGATCAAAGTTGTAACAGTTTACTAGAGTATTTTTAACCCTATCACATAATTCCATTACATTTTTTATTCTGAAAAAACATTACTAAAACTGTAAAAAAAAAAAAAAAAAAAAAGTACAGAAGTACAGTTACATACATACATGCATATATATATTGGATATCTAAGCTGAATTACTTACTAATTTAGAGTTGCTGAAAATCTTGATTTGTTTGAAATTTTATAGATATACAGTATGTAATGTCACTATTTATGCATCATCAAATAAGCTACACTTCAATAGGTCTCAGTCTAAATACTTGTTTCTGTAAAGTAAAATACTTAGAAAAAGCTTTTATAGAAACGAGAACTGTAACAGAGAACATAGCGAAAGTTTTGGAAGTATTGGCAGATTGTTGGAAGACTTCATATGGTACTGCTAATTTAGTTAGTGTTGCTGATACTGTAAGTCAGGGTAAAACACTAATCACTAACTCAACTTATAAAAGACTGTTTTAAATATCCCATGACATCTGCCGAGGCCGACTGGTGTTCAAGGAGACAGAAGCAGAGATACAAAAAGCAACTGTAAAAGCTACCATTATATTCACAATAAGCATTGGTGGAGAAAGATGCAGTTTTGCTCTACTAAACTTCCTCCTCACCAAAACGCATCAACTAAAAAATTTGGGTTTTTGATAATCACTGATCATTTCATGTGTTCACGGCCATGCAAAGTAAGAAGCTAATAGTTACCACACGGAAGGTCCTCTAATTCTGACATATTTGGAGCTGCGGTTTATAAACTTATATCAAACTTTATTTTAATAAATAATAATTATTATTATTATAATACATACTATTATAATATTTATTATATTATATAATATTTATTTTAATAAATGTTATTAAATAAATAATATTCATTTTAATAAATTATAATATTTTACCCAATAATACAGTATTAATCACTTTGCATTGTAAATTGGTTTGAACACATTTCAATTGCTCCAAATTATTAAACAGCTAATTTGACCTCATTCTAAACCCTTCCAAATCAATATTTATTCTCAAACATAAAGTCTATGCAAAACTATATCTTTGAATAATTATGGTTTACAACCATTTTTAATAATTTTTCTATGTGTCATGATAGCTTAGCTTAGTTGAGTTACTAGTTACTAGTTTGGTCAAGAATTTTTACTGAAATTAGACAAGGAGCTGAATGTTGTTTTTTCTTAATTGTTACTACACCATTTCTTGTATCGTTCAAAGAACAACATACAGTATGAACATCTAAAAGTTATTTGATTAAATAACATAAGTTACTACAGCATTGAATTGCATATTTATTGAAAGTCCCAAACTTTGCACTATTGTTTAGTGCTATGTGTTTAAAGAAAGTTAGAGAAAAACTGTAGCTGTGGTATGGTATTTTGTCAGTAGATAAAACAAGATTGATGAATGCAATAAAATCCTATGCACATTTTTATAGTTGAAAAACAGCTAGACTGCATTCAATATTCTCTATTGCTTATCTAAATGTTTTTATATACAACTTTTGAAATGAAAGTAAAATAATCGGATGCAATAAAATATCGGGCTTCAATTCTAAACTACAAGGAAGTGTTTGTGTGTCTGTAGCAGCTAAAGTAATAGTGTTAAAGCTGTGATAATGTGTGGAGCATTACTGATGCACAAAACAAAAGTAAAAAAAAATGGTTTAATCTCAATGAATAATTCCAAGATTTGCAAATGTTGGGCGAAGGATTTGTTTCTTTTTTTTTTTTTGCTGTGCAGAGTGGCTTTTCACAGCCTCTAAGAAAGTTGTGCTAGCAGTTAAGCTTAAATCATGTCCTCAGAGTCAGCTTTTTGGGCCACAATGTTACTGATGAAAATGCTTACTGAGTGAATCACAAAAACATAATGTCATACTTTATACACATCACTGCCATGTGTTGTTGTTAACGGCGAGGCAACCACGGGTAGCGACTGCTTTGATTAAAATGAATGACAGCAAAAAGTATGACTGTTAAAAAAAAAGTCAGATTTTGACTGGACACACTTCACAAGGACACACAAACATCACGTCAAGACAGACAAAGAGACGGACTGAAGGACGGAGAGACGGAAGGACAAAAAGAAGGGAGGAATGAAGAAAGAGGGTAGAATCACAAAAGGAAAACAATGAAGGAGTGGGGAAATAAGGGGAGAATGGCAAAGAGGAACCATGCGTGGTTCACCTTCAATCTGTCTAAAGGCCACGGCGTGCCCAGTGGGGCGAGCGCCTGAGTGCGTCCACTCTGGGCTGAACAATGGGTGGTCATAGTACTCCTCGTCGGAGTGGTAGGGGTCGTCCTCAGGCACGGAAACTGAGATGGAGGGGGCGAGGAACTTGCACCTCTCCCGAGAATTTTGGAAGCGGCGGAGAGGACCTGCCTCCTCCTCATCCCCTACATCTACGAACAAGACAGACAAGGAGAAGAACTGCAGGGAAATTCGGACACAGACTGAAAGAGAGACAGTGAAAGGGAAGGAAAGAATAAAAGACGAAAATGAAGAAAACACACAAAGAATGACCATCTTAAAGGGAGTATTAGGAAATGACTAGAGTTGAGGTTTAAAACAGTGATTCCCAACCTATTGGTCCGCGTGTGCGTTGCAAGGGGTACACGAAAAAAATGTATTTATTGGGAAGTAAAATAAAATAGGGCTGGAATCTGTTTTGCTTTTTGCTTAGGTGTCTTTAAGAAAACAATGTTAAACTAATTTAGTCAGTCTGACTATAATTTTGTTCTGCATTTTGCTGCAAATTCAACAAGTTTGAATATAAATATAAGGGTGCTTAATTTTTATAAACATAGATTTATAATATGATTTATTTTTTTATTTTTTTCCATTTCTTATTAACTTCCAGGGAACATATTTATGTTGTTTTTTATTTGAGATGGAAAGCATAAAAACGCTTAATAATTAAATGCTCAAATAAAAAGATTTAGTCAAATAGTTTTTATTTTATTTTTTTATAATCAGGTATTGTAAGCTCCATCATCAATACTTTTAAAAGAGAGGCTATTTATGGTAAGACAAAATACCCAAAGGGGTCCATAAGTCTAAAAAGGTTGGGAAACACTGGTTTAAAACTTAGTTTTATCAACTTAAACCCTTTTATCAGATGCTAAAATCTTAAACCTCTTTTACTGCAGATATAAAACTAGTAAAGAAATTATGCATTTTTCAAATAAAATGTCTTTACTTTTTGTGCATTTTATTAGTTGAAAAAAAAGCCTAGAGAAAGACAAAATCACTGGTTCCACACATATTAGCCTAAGTGGCACAGTGGTGTCTCCAGTTCTCCATAATGTGAATAGCTGGTTGGAGGTGGTACCATGAAAGGCTGTACACTGACACTTTTCACAAACTTAGATCAATGAAAGACCTGAATGGTAATTTTTGGTCAAAGACAAAAAATGGACTTATGTACTCTATATACTGTAATAGCTAGGATGTTTAGATTTCTTAAGTGAAAAATTATGTAATTTAAGATTAGGATTTATTTAAATGGAGTCAATTTTCATATTTATAGCAGATGTCCAATTAATTGTACATAGTGCTGTATAAATGCAGCAATTCAAATTTAGATTTAATTTACTACTGATACATCTTATTCTTCACCATCGATAATTTAGAAACAATGACTTTAAAACGTAAATGTTTTTTTTTTCTATAAATTAGATCTTTACTTTTAAACTGGGCTGACCACAGACCCTTAGATTATTTGATTGAGGGGGTTTTGTTCACATTATTTTTAAGATGGACATTTTTTTGCAGACAAAAAAAAAATGCTTTAGAATAAAATCAAAAAGGGTATTTACAATATGAAACAGAACATAACAAAAATCTGACGAAAAAAAAACAATGAGGAAAAAGCTTGATTGAGCAGAACAAACATATAACACACAGCAACAAGAGGACAAGTAACTCAAATGAATCAAAGCTTTAGGGGCCAGCCTTTAACCTGAAACTGCCAAAAAAGGCATCATTTCACTGAAGACATGTTTTCCCTTCTATTATTATAAAACATAAACGATAGACAATAAACATTTGCAGTAACAGATTTCATTAGTTCTAGAACAAAAAAGAACATTTGATGCAAACTATAGTACAAATCTATCACACTTTTCAAAACATTCAGTCATTAACAGATGCATCTAAATACATGAGAGTTATCAAAATGATGATTAATTTAAGAGTTTCAATCTAAAAAGTGAAAACTATTATCTATTTTAATTATTATTATGCCAGAGAGTTAATGGAAAATCTGGATTTAGTTGCTCAGAAAATTAGAATTTTCTATCAAACCAATAAAAAAAATGCTTTATAGAGAAATAAGAGCTTTTCATTAGATAGTTACTGACATTAGCTTCCACAATCAGGGTTAGCTAATAAATTTCATTGCTAAAACACAGAGTGCTGTACTCAAACTTATATTATTGGAAAACTGTGTGGGAGGTAAAAGCATGCTGGAAAAAGATTTGCATACGAGAAGGATAAATGTAACCTTGACAGAATACTGCAGCAAATCCCATTACGAATTTTAAGGCAAAATGTGTGGACTGTAAGGAGAAACAGCGGTTCAAGAGCAAGAGAACAAAGCATTATGTGTAAGAGTCCGTCTGTAATTACTGTAGCATCTTAACCAGTGGCACAGTCACTTAACTAGGCATTAATTTTAAAAAATTAGGCACAAAATCAGAGTAGCTTGAAGTCATACAGTAGATCATGTTTCCCACAGTTAATGATGATCTTTAATCTACTGCTGTTGGTCCAATGTGTGTAAAAACAGGTATATATCAGGAGACTTTAGATCCTGTTTCGCTTCATTCTCCTAAATAGCAGTTATGGAAGGGGGGAGTTGATGTTCAAGCAGGACTTAGCACTTGCTTACATTGTCAAAGGTAGCTACATGGGTATATGTCAATGGTGGAAATGAAGCCGGGCATGAGATTGTACGATATTTTCAATCCTTCCTACAGCTCAAACTGTATCAGGGTTTAAAAGAAACACAGCTCACGATGTATGTTCTCACACTATGTGGCCCGACGCACTGATGTGTTATTGTACATCCAGGAACCTCATGTCGGACTCAGCGCAGAGAGATGGTGCTGGTCGGACTTGTCAGTCTGTAAGAAGAATTTGCATATACGCAGTGCTCGAAGTTCTGGATTTGATCCCAAACACCTCATGAGGGCTGACTGAATTTTAAAGATGTTTGATTTTCTCCCGACCTTACGATTCCTGATGCTGAGGTGGTCGCC